CAGCGATATATGCTATAATTTTTTTAGGAAATAAAGCTGAAGGTCAACATAAACATTTTTTTTCGAACGACGTGTTGAACGCCAATTTAAAAATTATATAAATTTACATGGAGTCCCAAACCCAAAAATAGGTGAACATAGAAAATGTTCCCTATATTTTTTTCAGGGAATAAAACCGAAGGTTAGCATTAACATTTTTTTCGAATGACATGTTGGACGACAAATTAAAAATGAAATAAATTTACATAGAGTTTTATTGGTAAAAATAACAATTATTAAAAAAATAATGCAAAATTGTTTCCAAAACTACTGCTTTGAACAAAAAAACAAAAAAGAAAAAGCTGGAATATTAAAATCTAGAACTAAAAGTATTTTAATAAAAATTAAATTAAATACACAAAAAAAAAATTAATTTGAAAACCTGCCTGACTTACGTTGGGCGCCACTTCTTTTTGTTATCCATTTAAATTGTTTTCCAATACCAAATATTATTAAGGAATATCTAAAGTAAATCTTTCCAAAAAGATAGGAAAGTAGATACAGAAGAACCCACAATTTGAAGTGAGAACCCAACGTTGGGCGCCACTTTTTAAATGGTGGAATTTTATTCCAATTGTGTTATTTTCTTTGTCTCTGACTAAAAAAAATTTTCTTTGATAAAAAGTTTTGCCATTATAATCGAAAATATTAGATTTTGGAATTGAGTGTTTTATATTGGGCGCCACTTTAATTTTTTAAGAAATCTTCACTTCGTTAATCAAAAATATTTTATTCTGGAACTAAAATATAGTGCGTACCACTTACAAATATTGATCGACATATGGGAAAAATATTTAGGACAAGCATATGGTTTAGAAATTTTAAATTCGTCAAGTGAAAATCTTATTTTGAGCGTAACATTTAATTTGAAGTAAATTAACATATTGACATTGGGCGCCACTTTAAAAAATGTGTACACTTTCTAATACCCTCTCACTGCAATAAAATTCAAAAAAAAAAAAGGAGGCTTTGTGTTGGTCGACACATTGACGGGTTTGTTATATGAAAGGTGTAGGAGGAAGTGTTGAAAAGTAATTTAATGGAGAAAAAAGAAAACCCACAATGGGCGTCAAACTCTAGGTTCAAAGCATCAGAACATCAAATAAAAAAAGAAATATCCTAAAACTTCATAAAAGCCCTACGTTGGGCGCCATTCTCTATTGGCGGCTTGGGTATCAACTGCTTACTGATATCGAACGATACAATCCATATTGGACACCAATTCTATTTGGAAAGTACGACACAATTACAATTGGGTCTTTTATTTGAATTTATGATATTGATTATGCAAGGTAGAGAACTTCATTCAAATAAAAAAACAAAGAATAAGGTCTCCAAAAAACTACAACATAATCCTTACGTTGTGCGCCATTTTTCCATATTTGATTTGGGACAAAATAGTTCTTCATTTTCAAAAAGAGAAGATGCCAATTTATTTTGGGCGTCCTTTAATGGAAGAACTATATGGTTATCATAAGGTAGAGCATATCAAACAAACGAATTAGAAGAAGATATTTAAACCATAAATGTGACTAAAAAGTCACACCTTGGGCGCCATTTTCTACATTTGATTTGCTGATTGAATGCATAAGAATTTTCAATAAACTAAAAGTTTTTAGGATTGTATTTATATCGGAAGATATATTTTTAACTGTTTTCATTTTTACTCCCCACATTGGGCGCCATTTTTTATGTTTGATAAATAACCCGATTACTTGCCGTATTAAATGAAGTCTTTACCTCAAATTAAGATAAATCTAATGACAGTTTAACAAAGTGTTCTCTTCTGTCTTTTAATTGATCCCTTTGGGAGACCTGTGGCATCTGCCACACTCCCAACTTCTTTTCATTAACATTTTTTATCACTTAATCGAAAATTACCATAATTTAAAGGTGTTAACTTAAAAAATCTTTTATTTGCCTCGGACAAATAAATCCTCAACTAATTGCCAAGGGTTTTAACAGAAACAAACCATTCCATCTTCATGGTTTTGAAGCTGTTATTATCTCCAAGGCCATCTATTGGCTTACTGTCGCATTGCGTTTGATTTTTTGAGGCTAACACTAATTTTGTATGCCCTGCAGCATTTGTGCCTTTAATTAGTGCTATATTGCCTTTAATTTATGCTCTATTAACATAAAAGAATTTTCTCAGAATAACCGGTCAACTATGAACGGGGCGGTGTAAACCTTTTTATTCTTTCTGAGTTCATAAACATATTTTGTGGTTATGGTTTGGGATTTTTCTTCCTATTTTTTTTTTTACTATTATCTTGAAAATGTATCTAACGAATATCAACACCCATGAAAATAAAACAAATTGTTGATATCGAAAAAGAAACAGAAACCCTATGGGCTTATCCTCAGCCCTGGCATATGTCAAATGTTAAATATCTACTCTATGTGGAGAGAGAGAGAAGGGAGGAAAGAGAATTCTTGGTATTTTTTCGGAAGACTAATCAAATGTCTGGCTGACTGACTGACTGGCTGGTTTGATTATTAATGAGTTTTCTGAACCCCTAGAAAAGCGACAACAACAACACCAATTTTGTTTATTTATTTTTTTATATTTCGAAGAGAACAGAAATGTTTAAACAAAAAAATGAAACAGACGACCAAAAAGCAACACTAAAAATAATGCCAGGAAGGGACAGCAAAGTATGCGGACATGTAATGTCTGGTGGTGTATGTAGTTTTTGTTGTTGCTGCTTTGTTTTTTTGTCGTCGTCTTCGTCGTCGTTTGGCCTATGGGTGTGTTAAAGTTCGCCCAATTGTCAGCTGTTGTAGCAGCGAGTCAGTTATTCAAACATTCATCATGCACTGCTGCATTGTTGCTGCTGTCTGGTGTTGGGGCAGCTTGTTGCATTACCCTGATGTTTATCTATTTTTATATCCGCTTCTTGAATTTCGTTTTCTTCTACATGTTCTTAAGTGCATACATACACACAGACAGACTCGCTTTTTAATCACATCTATTTAATGAATACAAAATTTCTCTCTACCCCAAAGAAGAAAAAATAGAAACAATGCATTTTAGAAATCATTTTTAAGACTTGAGTGCAGGATCTGTTTCTTTCCACAGGATTCAATTTCCTGGAAACGCAAGAAAAACAATGAAAAAAACATATGCCAACATAAATGCATTTAAAATTCTTTTAAATGCAAACACCGCCCAGATCCAGGATGCTTTGTTTACTCAGTTCGACTCAAATGCACACATACATACATACATAAATCCATTGGTATTCATATACGTTGATCTGTGTACATAGGAAAACCACAAAACTCTTCAACACCACAAGTGTTATCTGTCAGGATATTTTTTTTGTGTTCTTGCTTTCATAGAATATGCTAATTCATTTGTAGAAAAAAAAGAAATATCAAATAATCTCCAGGATTTTGGGAATTTAATGAAGAGGGAAGGAAGGCAGAAAGATTTAGATAATTTTTTTGTTTATATGAATAATGCAACAGATATTCATATTATTTCAATTCATGAAAAAATATGGAATTCAAAATGAAAGGATATTTGTTATCACAGATCTTATAAGGAAACAATGGTAAAGAGTCTTTAGGATTCGGAAGGATTTACAGGAAGTGAATTAAGAGATTTGGAAAAATTACAAAAATTACAAAAAATTTATCGTCGATGAATTAATCATATAATTTCCAATTTAAATTATTGAGCGCAATTTTGTAAATTTGATTTGGGAATAAAATTTAATAATTTCTAAAAAAGTGATACATTTTCGGGTAGTAAGTAGCGCTTACTCACTTGACTCATTTGTCTACCTAGGGTGCCATTTTCCATATGCATTTTATTTTATTTCAAATTAAGATATTTTTCGAAGGGTACAACACTTAATTAAGAATATAGGACATACGCCACATTTTTAAATTATATTCATTAATACAAACACCCTTAAACACACATTGGGCGCCAATCATCATATTCGACGCTCAATTAGACTGTTATGTTTAATTATGAGATGATGGAGTCGATATTTTGAGACAGCATCAAAACGTGAGTGGGAATAAGATTTTCAATTATTTGCCTAAAACCCCCAAATTGGGCGCCATTTTCCAACAAAAGTGGAAACCTATATCTTAAAGGAAGTTAATATTTTCAGAGTTAATAATACACTTCACATTTTAAAATTCTTTCCAATAACCCATTATTTGCGGAGACAATTTTTGGCCTGCTAAAAATTATTTGGATTAAGAGAAACTGTTTTAAATCCACATTGGGCGCCACTTTTTATACTCTATTTGAAAAGCAGAGCCCATTTTAAATTGTTGTCTTGTAATTAGAGAACGATTGCAAGTTAGCAGAAAAAATCCTATCTTATTCATCTGAAATTTTGTCCTTGGGCGCCACTTACTATATTCCGTTTAAATTTAAGGCAATTTAAAGAAATGTTCAACGAATGCCCCACGTTGGGCGCCATGCGATGGAATGGCTGAACTCAATACACATACAGTTAAATTATTTTGAAATACTTTTGAATGGATAATTAAAAAAATTCGAATTTTTTGAGCCACATTGAGCTTTGATTTAAAAAAACCACATTGGGCGCCAATATACGCAGTTAATGTTTTGGTATTTTAATATTAAATCACGCCCCACGTTGGGCGCCATGCGATGGGATGTCTGAACTCAATACAGATACAGTTAAATTATTTAGAAATACTTTTGAATGGATAATAAAAAAACTGCGAATTTTTTGAGCCACATTGGGCTGTGATTTAAAGAAACCACATTGGGCGCCAATTTACGCAGTTGATAGTCCAATTGTTTTGGTATTTTAATATTAACTCATAAAAGAATTTCAACGGCAGTAAAAAGCTTTTTAAAGAAATATTTATGAAGTGACCCATGTTGGGCGCCATTTTAAGGCGTAAAAAATCAAATTCATTATCATTTAACAGTGTTATTTTGAAAATACTGGGAGTAAACTTACCAAATTTGTGAGGAATCCATTGCGAACACCGATTACACTGACACTATCATTTGTTGTTGCGGTACGAGGAAATCTGTAATAAAAAGATAAGAGTTAGAAAAATAAAAAAATAGAATTATATTTAAAAATTTAAATCATTTTTATAAAAATTTTCTTGGTTGGATTGCAAAGATTTTTTTTCGAAAACAGAGCTTTATATAAAATCTAAGAAAATCTAAATTTTTAATTATAATCAACAAATGGAAATATATTTCTTGCCTCCGGAACAAGACCATAAATGTTTATGACATATTTCCTTCTTCTAGAAACAAAGAGAAAAAGGAAATATGCAATTTGTAATTCCACCCCTATAAACTATGCGTTCAAATTTAAATCCAAAAGATTTCCATTGTCCCTTGTGCAAAATTGCAACACACCCTAAATTCGCATTTACCTGTCTTGGGTATTTTTTGAAAAAATCAGGGGTGGCCATTCATTGTCTTTAATCCCTTAAAAGAGTACCGCTCTCCAATTTTGCCTTATGAACAACACAAGGACAAGACAGTTTGTCCTTTGCGAAAAAAACTGAAACACAATTTTTGGGAAAACCATTTTCTTTGTGAATGCAAAGATGCCAAAGGTGAATGATGTACAGGTAAAAAGAGATTAAACAGCAGGAAACTGATCTTTAAAATAGCCCAACGATTTGGCGAATGTGGAAGATGAAAGACAATATCCACCATTGTTGATGGGTTAGAGAGAAGCGATAGAGTGGATTTGTAGAATCTTAGCCGAGATAGAGAGAAAAAGAAATTCAAATAAATAGTGTCTTTTTTAGATGAAGGATAGATTTTATAACGTGGAATCGTCAAATCAGTACCTGTTGGGCGCCATTTTTGTGGTATGTTGTATTTTTTATTATTTTCTTTCTATATGGTCGCCATTTGTTTGTTAATTTATTTACATACAAATAATCTTTCCGATATTTTGACCACTTTAAGTGAGACCCACGTTGGGCGCCATTAATAAAGAAAATGTGAAGCCCTGATTGCGAAAAGTTTACGGTTGATCAGCATATGAGTTTTTTAAAATATATTTTTTGATTTGACTGAATGGCATCATGCTATGTAAAAACACTATGAGAAACCCACGTTGGGCGCCAATTATAAACAAAGCGTGAAATTCTGCTTCCGAACAGTTTACGGTTGATCAGCATAATTGTTTTTTAAAATATATTTTTTGATTTGACTAAATGGCATCATGCTATGTAAAAACACTATGAGAAACCCATGTTGGGCGCCATTAATAAACAAAGTTTGAAGCCCTGTTTCCGAAAAGTTTACGGTTGATCAGCATAATTGTTTTTTAAAATATATATTTCGATTTGATTGAATAGCATCATGCGATGATAAAAAAGACTATGAGAAACCCACGTTGGGCGCCATTATTGTGTAATGTATGAAATATTGATATCAAAGGGTTTATTTTCATGGTACTTTTTAGAAATCATTCTCTATTTCCATTACGCTTCTTAGCCCCTCATTCCCCCATTAGCCAACACCCCTCAGCTTCAAATATCACACATACCCTCTCTCCAAAATATCGTGTAATTCAATTTTACCTTGACTTCTAGTGAGAACATTTTTAACTCAACGCCCAACTACTAAACCAATTACCCGAACAAATGAAAATGCAAACAATAATTACAAATATTCGTATCCTTGAAAGGTGAATAAATATTCAACAAAAGTTACATACGATGTTACACATAGAGAGTCTGGCAGAACTTTTAACACTTTCGAACAATGTGTAGCAACCACAGCATGAAATTGTTTGCAACAACTAGTTAGAAAACCAACAAAAACTACTACAACAGCAGCAAAAAACGAGGAAGTTAAAAGTACTAACTACGAAAAGTGATTTATGATGGGTTTGACAAAACTAAAAGGATTACAGGCACACGTACAGAGGGACAAAAAATTTTAAATGAGACCTGGAATAGAGGCTATTTATTTTTGGGAAGAAGGACCACCCAATGTACTCTACTCCTTGCTTATCCTTTTTCCTTATGCCACGGACACATACTGCTGCTTCACAACTGGAATTCTTATGCGAGCATTGAATTCGTGTGCGAGCATTGAATTCTTAGAATTCCTTTATTGTTATCCTTTCAGCTATGCGTCGTGTACTAACAATGCCAAGGAGACGAGCAAAAGAGAACTGAAGGAAGATAGTGTATCAATAATTACTGATGAAATTGTAGCATACATGGATTTCCTTTCTGTTTTTCTCTGGAATCGCCCATTGTCTCCCAGCCAGGCCGCGCCATATGTGTGTGCGTGCCGAAAAATAATGAAACTCTGTTGCCATATGGATGCTGAGCGAGAGGGAGTTTTTATTGTTACTTGTTGAATTTCATGAAAAAATAAAACACTGAAACATTTTGAAAATGTGAAATAGAAAATAATTAAAAAGAACTACCGATAAGCGCAAGACTGGGTTGATGTGATGTGATGGTTATAAAGGGGGAAGGAAAAATCAAATAATATTGACAGGTGATAGTTGAGTTTTTTATTTGATTTCAGGTAAAAAAAAACACCATTTCTAATTATTTAGAAGAAAACAAAGAAAGATTAACAGGGCATTACGGTTTTTGATGAAAGGGAATGTGATTTTTTTTTGGGGAGGATTTGATTTCTTAGGTATCACCTCCAAGGAGCATTTGCAACAGATGTTTTAGGAGTTTTATTTTTAAGTACCGAAATAAGAAGAAAATGGGGAATCAGAAAATACTCAAGAAAAGTAGGCAATGTTCAAGAGGATTATAAACAATATATTTTTACTTATTGCATTTATATTTTTCCCAGGCGAAACTTCATACAACCATAGGAGGAACTTGAATTGCAGCTAACTCTGGTTGGCTTCAATTCGGGGGTTTCATTACTTGAGTGATATACAAGAATCTGCAACCTGAAAAATATGGCCAAGGATTGTAAAATTCCAAAACCTTGGCTCGTATACCCACAGTGAGAATATGTTCTACCTAGTAAATTGGACAGACTGACCTATAAGTAGAAGGCTGATATTGAAAATTTTTCATTATAATCCAAATACTGTGGCCTCCACCGTAAAAACCATGATATATAATTGGCTTTGTATCAATACACCATTAAATTTAATTGTCACGGGATAGAATCAATTTTTCAAGGACGCTATAGGTTTGGAAAACTTGTCAAAAACATAATTCCTAGAGGAACTATCATGATTTTAATCCATATAGAAATAATAATAATAATAAAAAGTATCTGCATTGAAAAAGTGGCGCCCAATATGGAAAAGGCAGAATACAAAATTATTATAACATCATAGAGGGAAAATTTACATTCTAATACCAATTCTAACCATTCGGTGAAACCCATCGGTTATACGATTTGTTTTCAATGTTTTTTTATTTATTTTTTTTTTTTGTAGAAGGATATAAAAATAAAGAAGTCACACTCAACATTAAAAGGGCATACTTGAGAATTATTCTCATATAAATTTGAGGCGTGACTTTTATTTTTCGTAGTAAAAAGTCCTTTTTCAGTAAAATTCCAAGATTCTCTGGCCTAAAACACGGAGCTGATAAATTTTTTAATTTATTTTAAATTTTTTAAGAAAAATTTGCGATCAAACGATATGGCGCCCAATAATTTTTGTCAATTAATTCTTCAGTAACATGCTTTTCCTGTATCATTCTGATATCTAAAACATGTTAATGAGGACGATTTTACACATATTTTTTAAAGTGGCACCCAAATTTCCATTCAGTTCCTGACTATGTAAACCAATTTTCGAGCTCTTATAATAAGAGGATAATGGAGCGACCAGTCACAGATTTGATATGCCTCCCCGTTGTTAGGAAATTTAACGAGAGTCGCATTTAAAAACACATTTATTTTAATATAGTGGCGCCCAACGTTAACATTAATATAGACCCAGTTTTGATAAATAATCATATTAAGGTTCGAATTATTCCAAAAAAATTATTTTTTTTAATATTTTTTTTCTCATTTCGAATTTATATTTCGTTGATATTTTCGGAAAATGATTATATAACGTCGGCCAACGTTAAAAGTTCATAGAAAATTATTCTCTAATCTCCAATAGAAAAAATATAAAGTGGCGCCCAACGCTAAACGGAGCATAACAAAATATTATGCAGGCTCGTTGATATATGGCTCTGGTTTATTTTTTATTGCGAAATTAAACTATTCAACACAGATCCAGATTATAATTCCAATTCGATAAATTTTCTTTTTTTTCAAAAAAGTGGCGCCCAACGTAAAAAGTGGTAATTTTGCAATTATAGCAAATTTCGGCGGAAATTAAGCTAAGTGCAGCCTACCAAAGGCACTCCAAAACTATTCTTTAGTCCCTGAAACACAGAAACACAGCCAATCGAAGGCACCCAACGTTAAAGGCTCATAGGAAATTATTCTCTAATCTCTAATAGTAGAAAAAAATATAAATTGGCGCCCAACGCTAACATAACGCCCATAACCAAATATTTTGACGTCTCTTTAATACATGGTTCTGGTTTACATTTTTTTAGAAAAACTACACTTTTAAACACAGATTCAGATTCAGATATAATACCAATTGATTCGGTAAATTTTCATTTTTTTTAAGTGACGCCCAACTTAAAAAGTGGTAATTATCGCAAATTTCGGAGAAAATGAAGCTGACTACAGCCTACCAAAGGCACCCAAAACTATTCTTCAATCTCTAAAAACCAAAAATTCTGACGTCTCTTTGGTGTATGGTTCTGGTTTACATTTATAGCGAAATATCACTTTTCAACACAGATCCAGATACATTGGTTCGGTAAATTTTCTTTTTTTTTTTTGGTGGCGCCCAACTTGAAACATTGTAATTTTGCAATTATCGCATTTAGGCGAAAATAAAGCTGAGTGCAGTCAACCGAAGGCACCCAACGTTAAAGGCTCATATAAAATTATTAAAAAAAAAAACATGTAATGTGGCGCCCAACGGACATCTCTTTTATATTCGGTTTTGGTTTCTATTTTTATAGCAGAATTACACTATTCAACA